GCATAAATCACATATGAATGTTTCCGTTTCTGCCTCTGCGCAATCAACATGGCACCACTGCTGACAGGACAGACAGCGTATCCAATTTTCGCCTCGAACATCGTTTAAAAAACTTCCATCGCAATAAAAGCACACTGAATCTGGATCTCCTAAATCTGTTATTCCCTATTTCTGTGATGTTATCGTCAGATGATTTGTCATCTAAACTCTCGATGTCAGACTCCGATGAAGAAGACTCTTTACGATGTGATCGTTTCATCGTTGATTTGGGAATATTGACACCACTACAACATGGTTGTGAATGGGATAGATCGAATATCACATTTCGCTTTGCCATATTCTTTGATTTGTTCGATAAAGGAGAATTTATTGAATTATTTAGGTTTTCCTTGTATGGGGATGAGGTTATAGCTGCAGCTTTTCCTGTTGCTCTTCCTCTTTGAGGTCCTTTTTTCTTACTTAATGTCGGCAAAGGTGATATTTGATGAGGCTCGATAAACGTATTCCTTTTTGATTGGTCAGTAGTCCCATTTTCATCATAAATTTCGTTTAATGGAGTGTCATATTGCGATGCCTCTTCAGCAGCAAGGAAATCGTGGTGTTCGAAAACATTGCGATTTGTGGGATATATGCCGGTTTTCCTGAAGCCATTAACGGCTATTGCCCCAGTTTGGACTTTCAAATAAGCCCTACCAAATAATTCAGAGATGTCGAAAGGTGTGACAGCCCTCTGATTGATTCGAAGAAATACTCTTAATTCTTCACTATAGTGAGATTTTAAAGGCCCTATGAAAGTTTTATCCAACGGCTGCATATAATGGGAAGTGAGTGTGGGGGCAGGAACAATATCTCCACAAAATTTTGTCTTGCTAAATCGATAACTTGTAAGTTGCGACAATGCGAATGGTGCCCATCTAAAACTAGCAATATTGGATCACTTTGTGATGGTTTTGTTTTTTCTATGAAGTGCCGGAACCATTCTGTAAATATTTCCGTTTGAATCCAGCCACTCGGATGGCACACAATTTTTGATCCAGGAGGGGCTCCTTTTTGTAGCAAAATATTCATATTCTTTCTAGGATAAATAAGTAATGATGGAACAAAAGTTCCCCATGCACTCATGCATAAAACAGCTGTGACTAGAGATCCCCTCTCGGCAGACGTTATCGAGCCAACTTGCTTATCACCCCTCAAAGCCAGAACAGACTGCATCTTCGATTGGACGATAGACAACCCAGTCTCGTCAACGTTAAAATCTCTATCTGCAGGATATTGATGCTTCTCGAATGCTAACTCCAGAAGATCGAAGAAGTGGCTAGCATTTTCCTTATTGAAACCTTTAGCCCGATAAATTGAGGTTCTGGTTGGCTTTCTTATAGAAATCGCACTTTTATGTCTTTTTAGAAATAAATCTAGCCACTTTCGCCAGCACTTTCAGTTTCATTCGAAAATGGATTTGGTAAGTTATTAGCAGCAGCTAACTGGAAAGCCATATGTTTAACATCCCGTCTAGTTAATCCAAAGAACTTCTTTTCCATTAAAAGTAAATATTCTACCAATTTTGTTTCTAAATTTTCTGCTAAAACAGGGGGTCTACCTAATTTCTTGTCTACAGCATCATTAGGTTTAGATGCCAATCGAAATAGAGTGGTACGGGGTATTCCAAAGGTGTCTGCTGCTTTTTTATATCCCATTTCTTTGATCCTAACGGCCTGAATAGCACGTTTCATGTGATCTTTGTTCCACGACTTTCTACAGGGTTTATCACTTTTCTTCTTCTGTGGCATTTTCCTGCAGTAAATAGAAATGTACCTAATCTTCAAACCAAACTAATTACGAAACTCGATAAGTAACATAATAGATAGATATATTTGTTATATCATATTATGACAAAAAAAAATGTTCTGAATATGGAATATTCCATATTTAATACCCTCAAGTATTTCATATTAGGCACACTACAATGTTTGAATTTCCAACTGCAATATCATTACGTGTGAAAAAGATATAGAGTTTTTGTTTAAGAAAACACAAGAAAACATGCCTATTACATAATAGATGGGTGTTACCAAAATTATATTTCATGCAGAACTTATACTATTCTTGTTCAAAGTACTTACCTACAAAAAACTCGCGGAATCTAAAATAACTCTGAAGGCAACTGTACTCACACTACGAACACTAGATCAGAACTGAATGCTGTCACGTTACTTCAGCCAAAGGTACCTTTTTTGGGTTGGATAAATGCAACGTTGCCGATTAACTTTTTTAGAAAATACGGTATTCCATATTAAGAGCATATTCCATATTTGGCTCACTTCCTCTACTATTTTACTAAAATCTTCCAAACAGCTTTCCTAAATTAAAGTAAATAGCTTTTTCGCTATCTTATATAACCATACCGCCTCGCCAACTGGATGTCAGGCCACGACTTAAGTGGCGAAAGGCCAAACCAAGACCTTCACGTCTCGATTATCTTTTCCCGGCAAAACAAAATTCTCCGCCCTCTGGCAATTGTAAACAACCACTTTTAATTCTGCTAGCGACAGTTTCCAATGCAAATAAATGATTGGATTTTGTTTATGTCAATCGGCGTTTTTGAGACGCAATTTCAAAACAACGTAATATATAATAGAAAACATTTTCATAGGGAACCGAGATCTGTGCTACTATATGGAGTTAAAGCGTGGACTCTAAGTGAGTGATATTTAAACACTTAAAGGCATTTGAGATATAGTTATACAGACGACTATCAAATATAAGTAAGGCCGACAGAGAAATGAGGAGGTCCTTAGCCACCTTAACTAAACAACTCAAGTGGGCAATACAATAAAGAAACGCAAGCTAGAATGCCTCGGTCACATTATGAGACACATTATGAGACACCCCATCAATAGTGGATACATTGTCTACTACTCGGGAAAGGCAGAAGGACCCAGACGTAATGAAGTCGCAATTATTGTCAAAGAAGAAATTCGTAACTATATTAGAAATTTCGTTCCTTTCACTGATCGCATCATGCTGATACAACTGAAAAATAAATTAATGAATATTAATATAATACAAGTCTATACACCAACAGCTGACAAACCAGATACATAAATAAATTGAGCAATTCTACAAACAAATTTTTCGGAGCACAAAAAAACATGAAGCATACGATTATTATGGGAGTCTTCAACGCAAAAGTTGGTACCGAAATAACACAAGATATAACCGAAAAGTATGGACTTGGAGCAAAGGAACGAAAGAGGGCAGAGACTAATACAGTTCTGCCAAGAAGAGAATTGCATTATAGCAAATATTTTGTTTCAACAACCTAAAAGACGACTATATACCTGGAAATCTCCAGCTAATCAAGAAGGAAAGGTAGTCAGAAATCAAATCAACTACATTATCAATAACAGAAGGTTTAGAAACAGTATTACATCTGCAAAAACATTCTCAAATGCAGACGCAGCAACTAATCATAATCTGCTCTGTGCTAGATTCAAATTAAAATTAAAAATAATAAAAACCTCGATAGCTCAGAAAAAAATAATAATCGACTCCTAAGAAATGCTGTAATAGCAGACGAGTCCGGAAATAAGATAAACCATGAAATTAAAAAACAGCTACAAAGATTTGAACAAGAAAATGAATAGACATAATGAATTCCGCAATGGTTACCATAGCAAACGAAGTTTTGAAATTAGAAAAAGAGCCAGTAAAAAAAGGATTGGATGACCGATAACATACTAGACCTTATTCAGCAAAGAAGAAATTGTAAAAATAAAGATGAGACTCGATATAGACAAATATATCGATAAATAAGATATGAGGTTAAGCGAGCAAAAGAGGCCTGGATGGAACAGATATGTCGTGAGATAGAAGAACTACAAAGAAAATATGACGAGTTTAATATACACAAAAAACTTAAAAGAAATTATCTACACTCAGAGAAAAAGAACTCCTCACTTTATGAGAAACTCCAAAGGTAAAATTATTCTCGACTTAAATGAAAAAAGGAAGAATAGACCAACTACATAAAAGAGCTCTTCCTGGATTCGAGGCCAACATTTAACGCCAAAAGTATACGAATACTGGTCCTAGTATTTTAAAAGCAGAAGTAGAGAAAGCCATCAAACGAACCAAAAATGGGAAATCTCCAGAAGCCCTGACCAAATACCATTAGACTGTATACTAATTATAACCATATGATGTTATATCTTTCCTATACTGTTGTACGGAGTTGAGTGGTGGACTCCTATAGACGCTACCTGCAAGAAAAGTGAGGATTTCGAGATGTGGCTTTATCGTCAAATCCTGAAGATATCCTATACCCACCACGTTATTAACCAAGACATTTTATTAAGAATGCAAAAAGGAAAAGATTTGTGAACCACAATAAAAACAGCCAAAATCGAATACTCATGAGGAACAGCGAAAGATATGGGTTGCTGCAATTAATTATACAAGGAACAATGGAAGGAAAACCAGGACCAGGAAGGCGAAGGATTTCCTGGCTGAAAAATCTACGTACGTGGTTCAACACAACAACCACAAATCTTTTTAGAGCAGCTGTGTGCAAAGTGCAGATTGCCATGATGGTCGCCAACATCCGAAACGGATAGGCACTACAAGAAGAAGAAAGAGATCCTGGAAAGGGAACGACAGCAGACATAAACGTAAAGGTGGACAGGGCATCAAGGACGCATCCGACGGCACAACTTCAACTTCCAACAGGGGAGATGAACTCTCAGAATTAAACACACGTCTTTGGAAGATTTTACACCCCTAATAAAAAAAAATTGGAGATTAACACTTTCCCAGCGCACGGTATAGGGAATACAAAGTGATGCAAAAAGTCTTACTTATTTATAAATAGTCTTGGTTTTCCACTTATTGATATATAAATATTTACTAATCGATTATTAATATGTAATGTAGTATGAATCATTCAAAGTGTTTGGTACACAAGCTATAAAATTTAATAAGTAGAATATATCAGTGTTGTGTGTAATCATTTCCGATGAGAACGTCACTGTGAACGTTTATCAATTTCCGTTCATGTTTGGAAACATTTCTACAATAGACAATCCTTAAAGATCACTGCTGCGAAAATGTTAATCCAAGGTGTTGTGTTTTTTCTTCTAGGGCTTGTTAGTGTTATCAGAGGACAATCCAATACTTGTGCATTTGAAACTTGTAAAGAATGTATACAAGAAAAAGGATGTGTGTGGTGTATAAATCCTTTTAATGTAAGTTATTTATTTATTAAATCCCTATTGCAATAAATCATACTATATTTTTTATTTAAATTATTAAATATTTACAGAACATTTTAGTAATTCATTCATTTAATCTAAATTCTAATAACTCTTTTAATATTTTTGGGAAGTTCTTAATAATTAAAAAAAATAGAAAAGGTAGACTGTTAAATACGGAAAATCCGTAGATTCCTCAGATCTAATTTTTCATATCTGGAAATATTTGGTGTAGGGGACTTTGCAGAAGAAAACTTAAGCTTTGTGAGAGCTTAAACTATCACTAAGTGCTCCTATTATTTTATTGTTCATAACTTAATAACACATAAGAAAAAAAAGTCTATCTAATGTTCATAATCAATCAAATGCTCTTGTAGAGTCAGTTACTAGGCTATAATTAAACGTTTGTAATCCAGGAAAGTAAAATTGGCTTCTAAACAAAATTGTATACATCAGAATTCGTGAATAGGCTTTGCCTACTAGTCAAGTTATCAGAGATTTGATCTCTAAAAACGATACGAACCATCTGAATTTCGCTGAGAATTTCAATTTCGGGACCTCAAAAAAGATGCAAAAAGTTTACAACCCCAACGCGAGTGTTAGAGTTTACCACTCCAAATAAACAAATATATTATTTTCCAGTCTTCTTTATTTGTTGCGCCATCCAAAAAATGTTCTATGTTTTTGCAGGCGCTATTTCATATCTCATTTTTGGCTATATTTATCTCTTGTCTTACTTCGTTGTTTAACCTGTTGTACTGTTGTCCTAAATGTCCCTTGTTGCTAGCCATACATATTTTTCTCCATGCCCTTAATATGTTCTATTTATTTATTTCACCGTTCATGTCTATTCTTTATATATCCACTTTTCCAATAATATTGTACTTATTAAGTTGCTTACTCCTTGGTAAGAAGTAACAAACACTACAACGAGCATTGTTTTACACTAAGAGAAAATTGTTTTCAAAATTTGTCACCTGCTTTTGCGGAGTATTAATAATGTACCGAATTGCAGTTCAAGTTCCACCATCAAACAACTACAACTTTGTGCGTTCTTCTAAACATATTCAACACACACCATAATTGAGCATCATGTGAAAGAAACTGAAGAAGTAAAATTAAACTCTTCATTTTGTTCGCTTGTCTTAGCTGGGTTCGGTTTGAGTGAATTTTTTGATAGTAGTTGGTTGGTCGTTCGTGTATATATTGAGGAGAATGGGAGCCAAGATGTTTCTCTTCTTCTTCTTCAAGTTCCACTCCTATCGGAGATTGGAAATCATTCTGGCAATTATAATTTTATTGGTTACTCGCCTGAATAGTTCAATTGAACTGCATCCAAACCACTCACGGAGATTGCGTAGCCACGAGATTTTACGTCTTCCTACGCTTCTTCTACCTTTGATTTTACCCTGCATTATATTCCTTAGTAGTTCGTACTTTTCACCTCTCATGATGTGCCCCAAGTATTCCAATTTCCTGATCTTTATGAAATTTAAAACTTCGCATTGTTTTCCTAGTTGTTCGAGAACTTGTTCGTTTGTTTTGCGATCCATCCATGATATTTTCAAAATGCGTCGGTAACACCACATTTCGAATGCTTCTAGGTTTTTAATGTTGGATTTTTTAAGTGTCCAAGCTTCAACTCCATACAAAAGGGTAGAGAAAATATAACATCGAAGCATTCTTATCCGGAGCGATATATTGATATCGCGATTACAAAAAAGTTTTCTCATCCTATTAAAAGTTGACCGCGCAATTTCAATGCGGCATCTTATTTCTTTTGTTTGATCAGTATCTTCTGTGATCCATGCTCCAAGGTATTTGTACGAAGATATTTGTTCAATTTCTGTATTGTCTAGTACTAGCTTAACTTTGATGTTTTGTGCTTTTGTAAATACCATGAACTTTGTTTTCTTCAAATTGATTTTTAGTCCATAATCGTTGCAATATATATTTAGTTGTTCAGCAAGGTGTTGCAGTTCTTCTAGCGTTCCTGCCAAAAGAACGGTGTCGTCAGCATATCTTATGTTATTAAGTGGCTCACCGTTTATTATAAGGCCCTCACTGATCTCGGCAAGCGCTAATTCTGAGATGGCTTCACTGTATAAATTGAATAACAAGGGTGATAAAATACACCCTTGGCGGACCCCACGGCGAATCTGGATATCTTTGGTCAGTTCGTTTTCAACTTTCACTTTTGCTGTTTGATTCCAATAGAGGTTACAGATGATTCTAATGTCTCTACTGTCTATGTTTTTATTTAATAAAATTTCTTTAAGTCGATTATGTTGCACTCTGTCAAATGCCTTCTCAAAATCAATGAAACAGGCATACACTTCCTGATTAATATCTAAGCAACTCTGCGAAAGAACACTTATTGCAAACAGTGCATCTCGTGTTCCCAGTCCTTTCCTAAATCCCATTTGTGTATTACTTATGCCTTCATCTAATTTCTTATGTATTCTATTGTGAATTACTTTTAAAAACAATTTCAAGACATGACTCATTAAGGCTATGGTGCGATGTTCATTGCACTCCTTTGCATTGGCTTTTTTGGGAAGCAGTATGAATGTTGATTGGAGCCATTCTTTAGGTATTATACCTGTTCTATATATGGTATTGAATAGATCCAAAAGAAGATCAATAGATTCAGTATTTTATTCAGATATTTACCATCTTTAGCTTGTTTCACTGCATATTCAATTTCTTCTCGTATAATGTCAGGCCCAGTATCATCCTTAAATTCTTTTGGTGCTTCTGTTCTCTCTTTGTCTTCAAATAGTTGTGCTATATATTGTGTCCATCTCTGCATTTTTTGGTTTATATCTGTTATAAGTGCACCCCTTTCATCTCTTAGTTGCCTAGTTTGAAGTGTTTTTCTCATTCCTGTTAATTCTCTAATTCTTTTATGCATGTTAAAAAAGTCATATTTTTTCTCAATTTCTTCTAGTTCTTGGCACTGCTCATGTAACATTCTCTCCTTAGCTTCTTTTATTCTCTTTTTTATTTATTATATTTCATTATATTTAATTGGATTTTTTTGTTTTGAATGATTTTCTTTCATTCATTAATAGTAGTATTCCTTCAGTCATCCAATCTTTATGTTTTCTATTCTTTGGTTTTAAGTTTTCATTTGCTGTTTTAATTATTGCTGCTTTTATATTTTCCCATTTCTGATCAATGTTATAGCTACTTTTATTCAGTTCTTGGGCATTACGTATATTTTCAGTACGAGTTTTTACAGTTTGTTCCTTTGTTTGTGGTTCCCTTAATCTCTTAATATCAATTCTACTTTGTGTGGGTTTTTTAACCAGTTTTAATTTGGTTCGTAATGTGACTACTATGGGGTTATGGTCTGAACCGATGTCTGCTCCAGGGTAAGTTTTGGCAGACAGTATAGAATTACGAAATCTTTGTCTAATAAGGACAAAGTCAATTTGATTTCGGATTATTCTATTCGTTGTATCACCGGGAGATTTCCATGTATACAACCTTCTTTTTGGTAGCTTAAAAAGTGTATTAGCTATTACAAATTCTTCCGTCTGGCAAAATTGTATCAAACGGTCACCACGTTCATTTATATTTCCTAGACCATATTCCCCCACATATCCATCCACTCTTCCCTGGCCAACTTTAGCATTGAAGTCGCCCATTACTATTGTAGTGTGATGTTTTTTCATTGATTTTAAGACTTGTTCCAAATCATGGTAAAACAGTTCGATATCGTCGTCATCTTTATCTGCCGTAGGAGCATAAATTTGAATAAAATTTACTATACCTTTTTTAGACTGTAGTTGTATTGATAAGATCCTATCAGAATAAGGAGTAAAACTTATCACAGAGTAATTGACCTTTTTTGCAACTAAGATAGCAACACCGTAACGATGATTGACCTCGTTGTTACCTGAATAATACATGGTTCCATTATTTGTAATTTGTTTGCCTGAACCTGGCCACTGTACGTCACTTATACCTAAAACATTAATTTGGAGGTTTTCCATTTCAAGCAGTACGTTCGCTAATTTACCACTTGCATATAAACTTCTGACATTCCAGGTTGCTATTTTCAATGTCTTAAGTCCACAGGGATTTCTCTGGTTTACGACCTGGGAGGCCCTGTGATCTACAGTTATTCCTCCCCTGCCGGATCTTGGATTCCGTGCTCCATAATCAGTAAGTTTGTTTACTCTACTTGTCATTTGCCATTCATGACTTTGTTTCTCTGGACCAGGTTATTATTTTGTTTTCTCTATCGGCTCTTCTTTCCCTCCAAAGTGACATATAATCGTCTGTTTTGTAATAGGGATTCAATAATTTTGAACTCAGATCGACCAGTGTAAACCTTGTTATTTGTCTATTTCGTCTCCCTCTTCTATGTGATATGTGAGATTGGCCGGTGCATGATCTACCTGGTCTGAAATCTGCTTGTTGTGGTATGAGGTTCTGGTCGACTATGTTTACTATGCGATTTAGGAGGAGAATTTTTGGGCAAGTCTGGGCAAATTTCTGGTTTTAAAAGCTCCATTACTTTATATTTCCTCTATAGTTTTGGGATTCTGAAGTTATGCAGGCAGTTATTAAGTAGTTCTAAGATCCGATTCTTAGCCAATGGGACCAAGTTTTTTATTTGTTCCACGCAGATATCGTCCACTCTTGCTGCCTTGTAAATTTCCAGAGTATTTCCACATGGAATTGTTTCTTCGTTGAATGGATTTTGACTGTATAATCTTTGGTTGTTGATTTCTCGGAGGTACCAGGCATAAAATACTGTCTGTAGCTTCTGAGTATGTATCGCCTTGACATCCTACTGATTGGGGTATTGGATAGATTATTAATGACCATACCTAAGCCATCTATTTGGCCTTTATAAAGTTGAACCTTCTGCGGAAGGAAATTTTTGTTGTCCTTATTGCTGCGTAAACCTGTATTGCTGTAGAGATGTTAGAGCTTGTGACTCAATTTTCTGGGTTATAACTTCACCTCTAGATTTTTTT